GACATCCCTTTTGTTATTGTGCTCTCTTGGGATTGATTGCAAACCAAGAATTGAGATCTTTTTGTATATTAATATATTTTTCAGAATTTTACGACAACGTCAAGATGTCGTTGATTAGAGCTGTCCACATTACCTTCCTACATGTTCTGGCCATTTTAGAATTGCTGGCTGCAGAAAAAGGCTGCATTACCAAAAAGTCCCAATGGGGATACACTCTGGAAGGTTCTGCTTATCTTTCCAGCTTTGCAGACAACTACCCCACATGTCTTTTAGATGCTTAACTGACAACAGTCGCTGCAAAAGCCTCAGCTATGATCTTGCCGCCAAAACCTGTGAACTGAGTGTTTACAGCCGCTGGAACAAGCAATGGGCGTACAAGCCAAAGACGAACAGCATCTACATGGAAATGCTTGGAGTAGTGGAGGTCTATAGTAATGTTACCGAACAATCCAGCACTCCGCCATCAACAATGGCTGCAGGCGCAGGTAAGGCTTTTTCTTAAAAGTGTGTTAGCTTTAAAAAAATCAAAGGGAACCCAATAAAGATAAAAGCCTAAAGGTGAAAATTGAATCGGGGAAAATTCGCATGTTTTTTTACTCAAAGTCAAGATAATGTCAACCATAATGAAAATAGTATGTGAAAAATATCGATCAAAAATGCACTTCCATATTGGGTTTTTCGTTGCGCCTTTGTTTTCCTATATCATTCTGTGGTATTCTATGCCATCAATATGTACAAATAACGATATACGATACAACATAATTCCTAAACAATTCCTGGAGAGATCCATAATAAATAGTAGTGTTCTGTAACGTGGGTTGATGAGTTGTTTTCGCTGTGYGTCAGAGTAGGGAGCAATCAATCTTTGTCTAGTACCATCTTTGCAATAAAGATACATATATTTAATTACAAAAAAATCCAGAAGCTTATTACTAGCCTGCTGCATTAGCCATAGGCTTAACGAGACAGTTGGCAAAAGCCATACGCGTTAAGCCAACAGTGTGAACAACTTTTCAAGATGGCGACTCCTCCCCTAAAACAGTCGCACAATGAACTGCCCTCGACCCAGTCTTTTCCTCAACCTTGGAATGCCGCTCATGTTCACAGTTCTTACAAGCCGAGAAACTACTTAGTTTTATTACAATCCTTGGCTATTACCGTTGAGATAAACTACTACTTTTCTCATGTGTAATTTGCATTACTAATATCTATGCATGCACTTTTCAGATGGTGGGCCATTCAATGCAGAAACTTTCTGTGCTGGGAAAGCAGACGGAGACTACTCCCATCCAACCGACTGCAAACAGTATGTGACTTGCTCCTCTGCAAGCAAAATCTCAAGACCATGTGGTGATGGTATGAAATTTCATCCAAAAAACAAAATGTGCGATTTTGATTCTAACGTTGTTTGCCCATAATTATGCGTCACGATAAATTTTAGTACAGTAAAACCTCTATAAGGAGGTCACCTAGTAAACGGCCAACCTCTAATAAGCGGTCACCTAGTAAAACGGCAAACCTCTTTTAAGCAGTCTGCTAGTAAACGTCTAACCTCTGATAAGCGGTCACCTAGTAAACGTCCAACCTCTAGCAAGCGGTCACCTAGTAAACGTCCAACCTCTAGAAAGCGGTCACCTAGTTAACGGCCAACCTCTAGCAAGCGATCGCCTAGTTAACGGACAACCTCTAGCAAGCGGTCACCTAATTAACGGCCAACCTCTAATAAGCGATCACCTAGTAAACGTTCAACCTCTAGCAAGCGGTCACCTAGTTAACGGCCAACCTCTAGCAAGCGATCGCCTAGTTAACGGCCAACCTCTAGCAAGCGGTCACCTAATTAACGGCCAACCTCTAATAAGCGATTACCTAGTAAACGTCCAACCTCTAGCAAGCGGTCACCTAGTTAACGGCCAACCTCTAACAAGCAGTCGCCTAGTAAACGTCCAACCTCTAGCAAGCGGTCACCTAGTAAACGTCCAACCTCTAGCAAGCGGTCGCCTAGTTAACGGGCAACCTCTTTTAAGCGATCACCTAGTAAACGGCCAACCTCATTTAAGCGATCACCTAGTAAACGGCCAACCTCTATTAAGCGGTCACCTAGTAAACAGCAAGTCTTTTTTAGCGGATAGTTGGCAAAGTCCCTAAGAGGGTTTTTGCACTAATTAATATCTCTTTTTAGCGCCCAATCCCTATTGGTTGGTTACTTGACAATTCCCGATGGTGGTCGGTTAATAGAGGTTCTACAGTTAAACAATCTCCATAGTATCTGGCTAAAGAAACTTTCACTGAATGGAATATTAGCTAACCACATGTTTAATTAAACACGAAATAGCTGACGAAGTAGAAAAATGAAATAATTTTCATTCTGAATGTAAACAGGGACAACATTACTAAACTCGCTGCTCGTCGTAAGAGTTTACAACACATACTAAAAAGTTTAATAATTTTTCACCTAGTGCACCTTACCTCACGGTAGGGACAGGTAAGATATTTCAAGACCTTAAATGAAAATCATCACACCACGAAAATGCAAAGGCACGACTACCTTTCACGATGGAAAGGGACTATTATTGAAATCACTTCTTAATAATCGTAGGATAGTTTGGTTCATGTTATTGCATGGATCTGGCCAAATTAAAAAAAAAAAAAATGATGAAACTGCCCGCCATTTAATGTTTTCATATCGGAGTGTCTATAAATAACCGGCAACCGGTCAAGGATAATTGTGAAACACTAAATGGCCTGTAGTTATATTCATTGGTTCGTGTTAAAATAGAACAGGGCTGGATTTTTTTACGTGGACAACACCTAAAGGGAGAAGATCTTGTTAAGTGAAACATTTTCGGTGAAACATTCCTTTATACTTGGGCTAAAATTGCAATAGGCCTCTGTGCATGATACAGGCAACCCAGTGAATTTTCTTTGCGACTTTAACATTGAATAATGAAATAACAAATAGCATGGGAATTTTTTTTCCATGCATGCATCCTATGACGTCACGAATCAAAGATGGTCGACCGTTTCTAATTTTGGAAATGACGTAATCTTTTCTGAAAGAATGATTGTCTTTTTAGCGTCCGATGACGTCACATGGTCTATATACGAAGTCGGCGYTTTGTATACATGAAGTTCTTTTACGGTATTGAACACTTATTCATTAAATTAAAAGTCTTGGTTGTTGACGCGTTTATTGACTTCATTTTGCTTAAATTGCCTTCACTCTCATCGGTTTTCCTTTTCTTCTTCTTCTTCTTTGAATGTCGAGTAACTTCTTATACCCCCTATATGAACTTGCGCGCGAATAACAAAAGAAATGAATTACTAAGCTATACTCGAAGAARAAGCTAATGAAGAGGGAGAGTTGAATAGAAGAAACGAAGCTCGAACAAACATGTCAAGTTAGAAACCTTTATTCATTGATATTTAACAGGTCAGATCTAATTAAATCAATAGTAGTTAACCTCTTGCGCATATTTCGTCAATTTATTCAAACTTGTACACAAATATCCAGCTCAGACTTGCTTGCCATGGTTGCGTCAATTTTCCGAACTTTAGCCACTATCCTCGGCCTTTACACAAAGTACTGCTAGCACTTTTTTGGCTTCTTCTGGAAACACGTTGAGCAGGTCCGTGATAATACCGGCTTCACAGGTTTTGACGCGAAGACACTCATGCTTGAATACTATATTAGCACATAGATTCTGATCCTTTCTCATTCTTGCTACGTAACGTCTGACGCAACTGATATCAACTCTCTTGGCGCACCTAGAGTACTTGGAAACGTGCACTATTAGGAAAAGAATATATTTACGAGATTCATAAATTTATATTTCAAATGCATTTGACTTATAGAAATAATATGCGTTATTACACTTGTCATCTTGTTATGGCTAATCACCTCCGCAAAGTAGAGCAGTGACGCAGCTTAACGGGGTCGAACTGAAATCATGTGAAGGCGCCTCTGGCAGCCGCTAAACAGTCTATGTATGAAATTACATTTATAATAAAGTCTTTACTTAAGAAAATGAACCCAAATCATGTTGTGTTTTCCCCCCCAGCTTTTTAACCACGATTTAAACAATTGGYAAATTCAAGTGTATTCTTGTACGTAGAATGCATTTTAGAGAAGGGTTCGCATCCAATACATTTAAAAATTTTGTTTTCTTGCCAAGAAATTGGTAAATTAATAGCCGAAGTAATAATTCGTTAATATTTCTGGATTAGCTATAGCAAAATTAGGAATAGTTTTGAAATTATAACAATCTATCGTGGCATAGATGGTACGCACAACAGAGCTCGGCTCAGTTAAGTACAACAAGAATTAGAAATATTTAAAATAAAAGTTCCTGTACTTATTATCACTTAYGGAGTGTGTTTATCTTGTAATTCCAAGAATTCTTGTCTACCGGGGAAGCGTCATCGTCATCGTCATCATCATCGTCAAAAGTACGCTTGACTGTAAGTCAAAGTAGAAACCAAGAAAGGAAATCCTTTCATCCTACATAGCTGCAGTTGGGGGAGGGGTGGGGGAAGGGAGGGGGGGAGGTTGAAAGGTAATTATGTATCCTTCCTCTTCTTCAGTCCCTCTATCTATCTAATTTATTAACCACTCCGGGGTGGACGGCGTAATGCCTAACACTGCGCCAATACCGGTCAGCGGTACTTGTAATTAGTCATGTGACCGACCTTGGTCGGCCATTTTGTTCTCTTCGAGTTTCGTTGTTCATCTCGGTTGTTTACCAAGTTTAAGGAGCTATTTAAACCTTTTGCTTGTGTCTTGGCTCTTTCTTATTATTCATAACTGGCGCTAAGGTTTTGAAACCCAATTAATAAGTCTTCCGATAGATCGAATTAAGATTTATAATTAGAAGTTGATCTTTGTGGAGAGAGGAAAAGCCCTCGAAGCAAAGGAGAGAATCAACAAACAACTTTACTCACATCAACACCGAGTCCTTGCGTGCATGTCAGCATATGCAAATGAAATATGTGCGTTATATTATTACAGTTATTATTATTATTGACTCGAAACCGGCTCGATCGCATTGGTAAGGCATAAACAGCGCACGCCATCTGTGCTTCCCTCTTTAACCTTGCACCGCCTTGCAGCTAGTTGAATGAGCTAATGAAGCGATTTTCACAGGAGTGAGAAACGCACGATGYTAACTTAARCACGGACACGGGAATCCACAGGGAATGCATTTAATGGATGTAATTTCAATTTTTAATCTTTCTTTTGTCACCATTCAATGTCGAATTCCCTCGGATTGGAGAAGAGTGTAAACTGAAGGAATGACTGTGAAACGGCATGCTGCGGGATACGGCATTCTTAACACGAAATTAACGAAATCCTTTGAATCAGTCACAGCGCGCAACATCCCTGCTTATCGACTCGAAACATGGGACACAGCACCGCCACGGTCACGGCACGCTTGTGCTTTTAGTCACAGCTAATCAATTAAAAAGTCCTGTTATCTCACCATTTTTCTCAAGCAGTTTTTGGTAAAGTGACCAGTATCCATATTTCGGACAAGCACCAAGCTTTCTGTCAAAAGCGATGTATGACAATACCGCTCGTCCCAGTGCCTTGAGCGTCTTTCCTGGACACGTTGCCAATTCCTTGTCTGTACAGAGGGCAAGTTCCTTTAAAAGTACCGAATAAAAAATATATACYGATTTGCAAGTATCATGCCAAACAATTCATATAGCTAGAGTAAATGAAAAATAACTGCGTGTCAGATATTCACGGAAATTAAAGGAAACGTCAAAATCCTTCTCTTTCTAGCCTTGTCCTTTCTTTCCTTTAGGCATCTAACCACTAGATTTAGGTGGCTCCAGCCCAAACTTTTCCCCACCTTAGCTGGATCGATCGGAAGTTCAGAAGAAAAAGAACCAACCTAAATGCGCATGCGCACATGGGATACCTCTTACCCTTTCTCGAACTGATCTTTTTAAGCGTTTATTTGAGACAGTTTTTAATTTGAGTT